AGAGAGAGAGAGAGAGAGAGAGAGAGAGAGAGAGAGAGAGAGAGAGAGAGAGAAAGAGAGCGAGTAAACGAGAGCGTGTTTAACCGTGGAAGTTTTACCGCGATAATACGCGCCGGGTTAGATAGCTAAGGCCGTGCGCGACGATGTTGCCTATATATTATATAATATATATAATAGTATGCAGGCACACACATATATGTTCGTAAAACACGCGTGTATAATCCGACGTAATCCAAGATCAACGCTGTTTACTTCCGGCGGAAATAATTCATCCGCGTGTAACATCCGCGCTCACGCGCGATGTCACCTTGCCGCCGTGTGGCGGCTGGACACCGTGGTGAAGGCCGTGAACGCCGTTGGGGGGAGAACCCGCTCGGGGATCACGTCGACGCGACGGGTGCACCACACGGCTCTTAAAAAAAGAAATTAGCCGCGTCATGAAATTCCGCCGGGTCGTACGTTCTCGCGCACGGAGGGAGAGACAGACAGGACGACGCGTGGCGTCCATTCCTCCCCCCGTCCCCGAGCACTCGGGGAAATATGTATGTACATGGAGGACATACGCTTGGCCGTGAAATCGACCTCTATCGCGTAATATTTTCGCAATGTCGGCTCGCCATCCACTCATCCGCTCGCTCGCTCGTTCGCTCGCGGCGACTGGACACGGCCCGGTCGGGAACGTGATTACACGACGCGCTTCCTCGTCGCAATTAACGGAGCGAACCGGAAGCCGCCGGACCGCGTAATGATAATACATTCCACGAGGGTTGCGCGGCGTAACTCGCGGAGGGGCTTCCGTCGACAGGACGCGTCAGCGGGAGTTCGTTTGCAGAATGAACGGTCAGCCGTGCGAGGATCGATCGATCGATCGATCGATCGATCAAATGGACTGGCAAACGAACGAGGCGTTCCGCGACAACAATACCGCACGCGGGCAGTCACGCTCGCCACTGCCGGCCACGATCGTCGACTTGATCTTCCGGCACAGAAATTTTCTAAGATTTTTCCGGAAACGGAACGTCAAATCCGACTGACGCGATAAACTCGCAGAATATCACCCTTTTGCGACGTGGGGAATACACGCGTTTCACCCTTCCCTTATTTTAGATACATGAAACTCTTTGTCTTCTTGATGGTGGCTAGAAATTGCTGGTTTCAAAAGCCATTTATGAATCCGTAATGTAATAATTTCAGTGTTGATTATATACAAGGAGAGAGAACTTTACAATAAAAATTATTATAGGATTTTGTAATCAAGGAATAGATTGACATTCTGTCGTAATTGACTATCCTTTCGTCCTATATCCGCGTAGAAATTTTTCAAGATTTTCCCAGACGCAACATACATTCTAATAGAAATGCCCAAATTTCGACTCGGATGCTGCAAGATCCCGCTACGATACTAATTGAGAATCCAATTCTTGTCGCAAATAAAGGTAGGTTCTCTGTTTAAAATCGAAACAGGAATAACTCGGGCTTTTTTCTCAGTCGGTAATGTCGGTATACTTTTATGGTATCAAACAATTCGAGTCAAAATTAAATCTTAAATGTTACAACGCAGTAGGAGCTAAATTAGCAAAGTAGGTTTAATTCTAATGATATAATTTACTTCTACTTTGACTCTCTAATGATGCCTGAAATTTCCCTTTTCACTTTCTTTAGCATCAAAATAGGTTGTATTATAAATTTCAAAATATCAAAATAGATGTTGGATGGAATAGTAAGGTTGTGATAATAGAAAGTAGGATCAAAATTTTGACTCAGAAGAGACTTCCATTTTTGGACCAACTATTTTTATTCAATAGAATAAAATATCAGAAAATAAACTATTTTTAAAAAACACTGAGCATTTAAAAAAATAATATAATTATTTGTAAAATTTATATGTTTTATTCAATTTCAACATAAAATAAAGACCAGAAAAAATATTGGGAAATCTTTGATGATTTCACCCACTTGGAGTTGTATGTTTGAAACACCAAAATCTATAATTATTCTGGAAAATCAGGCTGGATTAATTAGAGATCTTAATTACAGATCTCAAGAAATTTTCTATGCGGGTTGCGGCCTCGACCGGGATTTATTGTTTAAGCAAGAGAGCGGCGCGATACACCGCCGCTCGTTTTTGCAACACCACGCGTGAACGCGGCCGGGTAGTTCGCACCAATTATCCTTTTGCGAGGTCGTGTCGCGCCTGTCACGGGGATGATATCTCGCGAGCCACCGATCCTCGCGACGAGATATCGCCGCGCTAATTGCTTCCGGGGAGTGCGCGGGCGGCGACGAGGTGGACGTTATTTTTTACATATCAAGCGTAGCTACGTCGACCGGCGCGCCTATTAGAGATGAAACTAATAAATGCAGCGCAACTGTTTTCGAGCGGAAAAAAGTCACGGGCTGACTGTTGGTTATTTTTGATCGCGATGAGAGGATTCAGCGAGACAAATCCACCGGAACAGATACCGATACACGCTGAGGTAACAGCATTCGTTATTGCTGACTATAAATTGCATGGTGAAATAATTATACTCGGGGAAGAATTCTATTGCAGAAAGTATTGCAGAATGTTACAACCGAGAAATCGGTCGAGCAACAGTCTGCAATTATTTCATATGTGCTACTCATATGTATTTTAGGAACTGAAATGTGTTATTAAAAAATTTGCTATGTTGTTCAGCAAGATAGATCTTGCTGACAATCTGGACTACTTACAAGCATAATAAAATGAAACGAATTTATATGGAAAGAAAATCTATAATATTCTCTCCGTGTATATTTGGCGCCGCGAGAATGATTGTAATCATTAAGCAAAATTGACAACTTTCTTCTCTTAAAGTACATTGTAAAAAATTCGTGTAAAATTACATCTATTATAGTGGGTAATTTTAAGACCAACTATTATAGATGTAAATTTACACATGTAATTATCACATAAAATATATTTATATAGACGAAAGACACATTTTGATACGTATGTAAATTTACAACTATACTTGGTCTCATAATTACATGGAATTTTACACAAATTTTTCACAGTGTATACAACGAGATAACAGTATCTTTACACCGATTTCGCGGAGGAAATTTGATTTTCTCAAACGTCCTCATCGTAGCGTTGCTACAGATTATGGATTGTTTCGATCCCACCGGAACAATCCTTAATCCGATGACGATCAATGCGCGCCACGAGGAGCATCGCGCGCGCGAATATTTCACCGCGATATTTTTACGGCCTATTATTTCTGTATATGAAAAGTAAACTCGCGCGGGACTTTATGCATTCCCGTGGGGAGATCTCGTTGTATCGCGAACGAAACGTCCGCCGCCGGTCTCTGGACCGATCGTATCGGCCGATAATGAAAAAAGCGCTTGTCAGTGCCGAACACGCACACGTACACAAGCACGGGCGTACATATACGTGCGCGGGCAACGCGCGCTTTTAGATTGACCTACGGCCGCGATCCCGTGATTCTTTTTATGCCGATGGAGAACCCAGGGGATCGTCTCGCGCATTCGATGTCGGCTCGGGGGGTATCCGCGCTCTTTTCCGCCCTCGCGCGCTGTTCTGGCATTCTGGATACGAGCTACGTTATACTGTACCCGCGGGAGGTATATCCGCCCCAAATGTTCCGCACTCGTTCCACCGTATTGATTTAAATTATTAATTGTGAATTTATCCCCCGCCGAGCACGGAGCTTAATGGCGACCGCGCGACCCGGCGTACGCTGTTTTTCTTTCTTCTCTCTCTCCCTCTTTTTCTCTTTTTTCTCCCTCCTCGAACAACCCTCTTTATTTATACAGTGCACGCGCCAGGATTAGTCGACCCGTGAACTTTAACGTTGTCGCTTTTTCTTTTGGCGTGGCGATTAATTTAGGGTCCTCGCCGCTCTCGCGATATTGCACATATATCAAATAAACCGAGCAATATAAATAATGAAAAATCAGAGATGTCGGATTCTCTCTCTCTCTCTCTCTCTCTCTCTCTCTCTCTCTCTCGCTGTGTCGTTTGCAGTTAGCGACGAATGATTCAATTTACACAACCAAACCGATCGATATCGAGAATAGATGGAAAAATGCTTTTCGCAGGTCTGCCCTTGTTTATTATTCCAATTTAGAGATTTGATCTTTTTTTTCTTCATTTTTCTCGATTTAACTTCTCATTCCCTCGCGATACGTTGCCGGAGTTTAATGAAGAATTTTATCCCGCTTTATCACACTGAGAAAAAATTGTTTGATATTTGTGATTATATTTGCATGCTAAAGTTTGTTAAATCGTAAAAATTGTGACGCTGAGGGTGGTTAATTTCAATGAGTGGAATAATTATAGTCAAGAAACGTATGCGCCGAGAAAAAATACTTGAACATTTATTTATGGAATATAAAGTTGATTTCTGTAAATAAACTTTATATCGCATAAATAAATTTTCAAGTATTTCCTTCTCAATGTAATTAATGTTACACTACAGAAAAGCACTTACAAGATAATTTATTGGATAAAAGTTTATTTTTTGCAGAATTAATCTCATAGAAATAAACGTTATATCTCGCAAATAAATTTACATTTTTTTCTTAGTGTACTATAGTGTTGTTGATTATAACTTCATGTACATATTATTGCTGCTAATGCTTTCTTGTTAGAGCAAGAAAAGGACCTAAGATTGGTACCGAAAGTGCTGTAGAAAATTTCTAGTGAATTTGACAATTTTTCCTCTCAGTCTACTCTCATTATATCTTCTCTCCACGTGCTAGGAAACGACACGCGCGAATAGTTCCACTTCAGTGTATAATATTGCGATCGCGACGCGGGATCGAAGGGCGAAGGGAATCTCCCACAAGGGAGAGAAAGAGATAGAGGCAATGGGAGTGTACACGCGCAAGTGTTTCTTTCCCTTACCTTCTTGTCCTCCGTCTTCGTGCCGCGCGAGCTCTTGGAGAAGAGGCTGTCCTGGTCGCCGCTGGCGTTGGAGACGGTCGCCCCGCGGCCGGCGCCGGCGTCCTGATTGAGCAGAGGCACCGTGCCGAGTTCCGGTACCGCATAATCGTACGACGTGTCAACTGCACCGTTCGCGTACACCGCTGCGGATGATATAGCAAAGGAGGAGCGAGCGCAGAAGGGGATGGCGTATTGATTGCGGTCAGGGTAAATGCTTTGTTGCCGGGACGTATGTGGGTGCACAGGAGCCTACGTGCGTGTCTACGTGTACTCGTGGGTGCGTTTACGCGCTTATGTGTGCATGTATGTGTGTGTGTGTGTGTGGAGAGAGTCGCGTAGTAAGTGCGTGCATAGTCGCGCGCGAGATACGCGTAGCTGTAGGTGTGGGCGTAGGATGTGCGTAGATGTGTATGAGCGTCGCATACCTGAGTGATTGATGTTGGTGCCCTTGTTGTTCAGCATCATGTCTTTCATCTCCATAACGACGGTGCTGTAGCTGTAGTAGGGCGCGTACCTCAGCGCCTGGTACGGCTCCTGGTAGTCGTCCAGCTTCACGATATCCAGGAGACGATTGCCGAGGTCTCGCGGCAGAGTCGGCAACGAGCCGCCCGCGTATCTGAAAGCACACGGGGGGCTGCTAGTTAATTCATTGTTTCACCTCCTTATCAAGGATTAATTGACGAATATGAGGCTGTATTAATTGACAAATATGAGCGTGATCAAACTAGTCCGTTCTCTCCTCCGTGACACCCTGTCGCGAAGAAATTCACGACAGACATTAAACAATCAAGAGAGGACAAGTCTAGGTTAGAAGCTCGTGTCTAAGGTGAATTACGCTACGCGCCGCGTCTGTCGCAGGGGAAATCGCGAAACGCATCGGTAATGCGACGTGACCCGGCCTGATCCTCACTGGCACGGGCGCGCAAGTGTCTCTATCTTCGATGTACTCCCCCGCTGTGTTTCCGAGACAACATATTTTCCGCTCGCGAATTTGGCACGCGCGCACGGGAGGCCCGTCAAAGGCCGGCGCGCAAAGCCGGCGTTTTCGCGCTCGCGAGCTCGACTACTTCAGCTTGCGCGTTACACGTTCTCTTTTGGTAGGAAGCTTGCAGCTGCAATATCGGGTTGCACAAAGCGGGCGAGGGAGCTCCGGGGGATCGATGCCGAAGCTTGCTCGCGCGGGCGAGATGCTTCCAAGTTACCGAGGCGGCGGCGGCCAGGAGGATCTCTCTCCTCTGGAGACATTCGTGTGCCGCATAAACTCGATATATTGCCCGAGGATGTCCGTTATTGGACGTTATTGGACGTTCGCTAACGAGCACGGTGGATGGAAAGTTTATTGGAAGGCCGTTTCCGTCATCGTGCCGTGTCCTGCGCGAACACAAACTCCGAGAAGAAACGAGGAATACGACGACGCCTCCCGCCACGGCGGCGCAGCGGTTTCTCTTATGTTATCGTTAAAGCATCGTGTTTCGCGATGCAAAAGCGAACTCGTATTCGCGAACTTCTCTGTACTCGCTCGTCCAGACGTTGCCGCAGTCGTGTAACAAACGAACGAACGAAAAAGAGACAAAAAGAATGTTGGTAGAAAATAATAACTGCACTCAAAAAATAGTCTTTCAGCCACATAACGGAAATTATATACGAAGAATTAGCTAAGATGAATAAATAACTGCAAACATTGCGATATCGCATGTTTTGTATTTAATCAGTATAAACAACAAATAAAATTTCTACCTGAATTATTTGCGAAAGTTAATAAGAAAGTCTCCCATAAACTTTTAGCCTCATTTTGCGGTATTCAAAATCGCAACATTTCCTATACTTTTGCTGTAAGAGTTCTAACGACACCAATCATTTTGACAGAAAGGAATACGTATCTTTGTGAGCCATTTTCTCCCAAATGGTGAAGTGCATTACTTTGATACTTATATATCTTTAATCTATACTCATCAGTAGCTACAATTTAATAGAAAAAAAAAATTAGTTTAAGATTTCAAATGCCACATAAAATGGGGTTAAACTTAACCACATTCTTTGCAGATATTGCTAGAATGCTGTTGTTGCTGTAAATTCTATCTGTATCATAGACGATTTTCTAATAGATATAAAAAACAGCGACAAATTTTGACTATGACACTTAGAATTCTTGAACTAGAAAAATATTTTTTCTTGAGTGTATTGTCCAAAGTTGGCCGACTTGTTTACTATCAGTGGCTGTTGCATTAATTATCGGCTCACAATCAGTCTTTTGGCGCATTAATTTAGAAATTACGGTTAATAACACCGATCGAGGGTCGTCTTGAAATAATCTCTCTGACTTCATTTTTCTCTTCTTCCACTTTTTTCGGGCGAGACCCGTCTGATTAAGTGACGAGGGGATCGATTCTGTCGGCGGATTTGCGCGAAAGTGCACGCGAATTTTTAACGAAGCCGCTCAAAGACGCGATTTACGTCGCTCGTTTCTCTCTTTTTACATTACTTATTACCGGAGTAATCGGTAAAACTTTTTTACCTCTCGTCGTCCTCCAAGGTGTACGCCATCAGCGCGGCGCCTTTCTCGACGGTGGCGCAGGTGGAGCCCAGGTGGGACGGGGCTTTGCCGGTCATCGGGCTGGCGAAACACTTACGTTGCCGGTGCCGTGAGACAATCAGAAATATCGCCACGGCCAGCAGAAGTATCACGGCGGTCAACACGCCGATCACGATCGCCATGTACGTGGGGTCGTCGTGCGTCGCCGTCGAGACCGGGAGTTCCCCCTCGGCGGCGCCGTTCTTCTCGACGAAGACGTCGCTTTGGATCGGCGACTCAGTTGTCGGTGCTTCCTCGGGCGTGAAGTTGCCATGCGCTACGTCTAAAAAAAGAAAACAGCAAAGAGAGATTAATTCCCCATCGTAATACGAGAACTAAACAATGACACGCGTGTGCTGTTACACGGGAAAAAAACTCGCATAGAAATTCCTTACAAGTAAACCTACCAAAAAGTTACACTCCGATTTCTTTCTAATGTAGAAGTACAAAAGTAGTAAGTAAAAAATATTTAGGTCATATTTTTTCATTTTGGCTTTTTCATTTTGAATTTCACGGGCAGTTTATAGCTTTTTAATGTTCTCACTCCTATCATCACCAAGTACAACATAAATGCATAAGAAATAAAATTGAATATAAGATATAGACGTTTTTGGTTTGCTTATTATGAATATAAAATCAAATGTGTAAAATTATTTGTATAAATAATCAAATATTTAAACAAAACATGTAAAAAGTTGAAAAAAATTATTTATACAAACTATTTCTCGGTCTGGCCGAGATTCGAACCATTTTTAACTAATTTAGCACAGATTTGAAATATTTCAGTTGGAATCTCGGCTAAAAAATAGAATGGTTCGTATCTCCGTTATGCTGATTTTATTAAAATTATTTAATTATATCTTGTATTAAATTTTATTTCTTATGCACTTATGTATATTGCGTTTGGTATATTTTTTGTACTTCTACATTTGTGCCAAATTAGAAAGAAATCGGAGTGTACCTTTTAGATAGGTTTACTTGTTAGTATTTTGCTCAATTTTAGTTTAAAATATAAACCAGAAAAATCTTTGAAAAAACGTTGGAGACGACTAAATAGAACTTGTCTGGATTTCGCACTTAGATTTGCATGTTTAAAACATTATATTTCTAATCAGAATCTGCATAAATTTCCCATTTAGAATCTATGATTATTGTGGGAAATCAGGTTGGGTCCCAATTAGATCTTAAAGTATTTTCTATGTCGCAACTAATTAGCGCTCGCTGAAAATGTATCTGTTGCTAAAAATTTGCTGTTATAATTGAAATTTTTGTTACTACATCGGTTTTATAGCTAAATTTATACCTATTAGCACACACACGGAAAAATATATAAAATAAATGTTGTTTTAAGCATTTCATAAGTTCATATATCCGTAAATCTGTTGTAAATACATCATAAGCATCATATTTATTCAAAATATATTTCCGAGTTTTTTCCACACTGAGAAAAAATACATTAAAATTTATTTATGGAATATAATAAAGTTTACTTCATACGGAAGTAGATTTTATATCTCACAATAAATTTTTGAGCATTTTTTCCAGTGTAAATTTGATGGTCATATTTTATGATTCTTATCAAAGAGTTATTTCGTGTTGAAGATAACCATAACATAGAGGAAGGAGAGCAAATTGAATAATCTCTTTTCTTAATAGGGTGAAATGATATTTTCCTGCGTGTGCAGCTATACTTTTAGGTATCCACATGTTGCAACGAGATCTAACTACCACGCGCAGATTTTCGTTGCTGCAACTGGATTTGTTTGTTTGTTCCGTGTACTGTCAATTTTTTCTTTTTATTTTATTATTTTCCCAAATCTACCAGACCCATATTTCCAGATAATCCGAGATTCGTTTCTGTGTCATCTTTCGACGGGCGTATTTGTGGTCGTCCGACGGGGCATATTTGTGATCGTTCGACGTAATGCACGATATGAAATTTGAAGCACTGCGACGGTATCATAATATCGTCCATGATTACCGCGGCATTATGTTTGCAATTAATAATTGTTATCATTATAATATTATTTCCGACGCTATTATCCCCGTTATATCATTATACATTATACGGCCGCCGGTAACTAACGGCAGCCGCGTTATATTGCGTCGCATCGGTCGCTTCTCGAGTTCGATTCGTTTGCCCGCCGAGAGTGCGGCTTTCTACCCGCTCACGCGATGTATCTTTACGCAGGTTTATTATTAGAAGACTCCGCGCTTCTTGCTCGCCGTGTTTATCATTCGCGTTGTTAATTCTCCCCGAGTGTGCACATACACACACACACACACATATATATATATATATACAGAGCGTGACGCGGATGAGACAGGAGCGAAGCTTTTCTCAAGGAGGGCGCGCGGGGATTAAGCTAATCGTGCATAAGGTACGCGCGAAGATCTGCCTTTGAGGAGGCGAGGATTACAAAACGTGCGAGATAGACGCGTGAGAGCATATGTGGAGCGCATAATTAACCTATATGCGCTTTGACGTACGACTTCACTGAGGATGTTGCGAGGATGCGCGAAGTTCGTTACGCGCGAAGGGGTCGTGTGTCTCCGAGTATGTATGTGTATGTATGTATGCGTGTTGTTCATTCTCCCCCACCTTTCTCTCTCGCGTAAACGCGCGAGATAACGTTTCCCATTTACTATCGGCGCGATATCACATGAAAGAGCGAGCGGCGGAGCTTTCACGTCGTGTAAACGTATTATATTACGCTTTTGTCGATGGGCTGTTTTATACGCAAAAATTGCGTAATTAAACTCCCGTCGCGTTTGTTCTTTCGGCAGCGTAATTATACGCGTCATTCCCGCGGTGTTTAATAATGCGCTTTTTAACGAAAAACGATACGATATGCTTTCCACCGGCTCCTCGCGTGCCCGGCCGCGTTTTCTCTCGCTCCTCTCCCGTCCCGTCCGTTAAGGGGATTGCGTTTCATCTTGTTATAAATAATTACCGGCAAATGCATTAGCCGATAAGGATTAGCTTTTATACGAGGAGTGCACCGACGGCGCGCACGCGTCTACGCTTTTTTTGCCGGATCTCATTTTACTCTGGTTTGTTTTATTATTCGTGTTTTGTCCGACTAGCTTTTTCATTTTGCAAAATTTACGCTCGGGCTTTCGCGAACGCGCCCGCCACAGAAAGAGAAAGAGAGAGAGAGAGAGAGAGAGAGAGAGAGAGAGAGAGAGAGAGAGAGAGAGAGAGAGAGAGAAAGAATAATCCTTCCTAGTTTGCTTCCTATCGAGAAATGACGTTGTTTCGAGAATTATTACTTCCTCGCGTCGCGGGCGATTTTTTCCCTCATGAAATTTTAAATTGCATTTTCGTCACGGTCGTCGTCGCGCAGTTTATTCCGGCAAATTCGGTGTCGCACATTTCTGTCGTTACGTTTTACTTCGGTAGTCGTTCGGACAGCAGGATGAGAAAAAAGAATATATATGTGTGTGTGTGTGTGTGTGTGTGTGTGTGTGTGTGTGTCGGTGTGTGTGTAGGAAGAAACGAAAAAGAATCACGCACACGAGAGCAACGTGCACGGATTCACGGTTGCAACAGCGGCTACCGAGTTTTCCGCTGTCGTCCCCGCGACCCGCTGTACGCCTTTTTGTGGCGCATTCGCGTGCGGAATTCTCCAGCACGTTCTTGCGCGAATTCTTTTTTCTTTCCTGGCGCGGCAGCGCGCTGCGAAAACTCCGTTTTGTCGTTTTACGCGCGGCAAAATAACTTCGTTTTGATGCAATTTCTGCAAGATTGGCCGCGTGTTATCTTTCTAACTTCCGTGTCCCCCTCGTGTCTCTCTCTTTCTCTCTCTCTCTCTCTCTCTCCTGCTTTCGCAAAATTGCCAGGTAATGCGTGTCCGTTACGATTAACGCGCGTATCGAATGCGAGAGAGTAGTAATTAATGTTAAACGCGTCATCGCGATTAAATTATACCTGTGTGTATTTTTACGTCGACGTTTTGCATATTAGTAAATCAAATGAACGCACGGCCATCTCGTAAATGTCGGCAGTTTAGCGGTCTCGGTTGGCGAGAGGGAGGAGGAGAGCATGCCGTTGCAGATATCAAATAAATGTCGCCGTGTATGCCGCGCTGTACACGCAATGTTGGCGTATTTTTAACTGATAACGAAGTAACGATTAATTCAGCGAATAGTTCCCCCGACGGGATTACACGCGGCCGATCGTGAAAAAATTCCCATCTACGGCAATCTTTATTTCATCGAATAATTAACTAACACATTGATTTTGTGTCATTCGGAGGATCCCCCTTTTTTCTTATTAAAAATACGACGAAGCGTCATTATTGCATGCCACATTTCTCTCTCTCTCTCTCTCTTTCTCTCTTATCTTTCTGCATTGGTTATCCGGGTAATTGAGCGAGTGAAATTTCATTAAAGTTTACTCGAAATTAATTAAAAAGTAAAATTTTGCCGTAATTTATAACGTTCCAATTAATTTGACCATTTTATCATTATAATCGCCGATATCGCGCGCTGCATAATCGCTGAAATTGAAAGCTCATACGTCGGAATTAAAACCTCTCTCCCTCTCGCGGATATTCCAACTCTCCTCGTGGGGACTCGCATAACCGCAAATTTCGGCAACAGCCGGCACGTCGTTCAAACATTGTTTTAAAACATACTTTCGGTAATCCACAAAGACACGTTCCGCGGGAGCCGCAGGGAATTCGTCGTAGTGAGATTCTAATTTAAGAAAAACGCTAGTAAACGCGTGTGCTTATTTTCGCGGGAAGGAGGAAGGAACGGAGAAAGAGAGAGAAGGAGAGTAAGAAAAGTCTCGAGAAGAGAAACCTCGGGGACGACGGCTTTCGTGGAGAAGGCGTCGCTCGCTGGCGGATTTTCCGCGAGAGTCGTCCTGGAATATATCCTGCTCGCGCACGCGGGGATATAAATTTCTTCGGATGCAATCCCAACGCCGCGCTTTGTGCCGCTTTGGCGAGGGAGTCGTGACAGCCGGGGTGAGTGCAACGCGCGCAGGAACGAGAGGAACACACCGGCTGGAGATAATAAGAGGTCTCCGCAACTGTTCTGAGAGAAGCTGTGAAAGAAGAGCCACGGTGGCGAGCTCGTAGCGCGAAACTTCTCCGCGGAATTCTCAACGGGGTTTACGCCGTGCGGAAACAAAGCCGCCGCCGTCGTCGTTGTCGTCGTTGTCGCCATCGCGTTTGATATTGGCCTCCACGTGGCTCGCCGTGAGCTCGTCGCTTACCTGGCCAGGACAACCCTCGACGCGTGGTCCCGCATGAAATCTGATATTAAACATTC